GAGCAGGATAATTTTGCTCTGATCTCGATAATCCTCGACTGGCAAATGCTATAACTTTCTTTAATCCATCATGCTCCTGGTAAAGTACTGCTCGAAGACCTTGGCCACTGGCATCTGTATGTAATTCGAAAGGCTTACTAAAATCTTGATAACTCAAAACTGGCGCAGTTGATAATTTCTGTTTCAATAAATCAAAAGCTCTTTGCTGTCTCTCGCCCCACTCCCATTCTTTTACAATTTTCTTTTTCTTCTTTTTGGATGTACTGGGAAATAACTCTGTCAATAGTTTAGAAATCTGGCTAAAATTCTGAATAAATCTTCTAAAATATCCTGCAAATCCTATAAACTTCCTAATCTCTTCTTGATTGGTAGGTGTAGGCCAGTCAACTACCTTTGATATCTTGTCTGGATCCTTCTCTACTCCTTCCACTGGAAACAACAAGTCCCACATACTTCACTTTCCTTTTGAATAAGGAGCATTACTTGGGTGACAATTTGAGATTGGCTGCACGGATACGGTCGAAAACTAATTTTAGTCGTTCCAAATGTTGTTGAAATGTAGAGGAAAATACAATGATATCGTCAATAAAAATACAGCAAATTTTCAAATGTAAATCTCCTAAAGTTTCTTGCATCAAACGTTGATAAGTTGCTGGTGCTCCTGTCAACCCAAAAGGCATTCGGTTAAATTCATACAGGCCTAAAGGTCCTACAGTGAAGGCCGTTCTTTCCTAATGTGGTTCAAAGATTTCCACCTGATGGTATCCGGATTTTAAATCTAGGACCGCAAAATATTTTTCCCTGCTAAACAATCCAGCATTTCCTCAATCCGAGGTAGGGCGTATGCGTCCTTTTTGGTCTTTTTATTTAACTGTCTAAAATCAATACATAGCTGTAAGGAGTTGTCTTTCTTCTTTACTAGTACTACATTTGATGACCACGGGGAATGGGATTTTCTTATGATTCCAGATCTCAACAGCAGCTTCAGATGTTCTCGTACTTCATTTATCATTGCTGGAGGAATTCGTCTGTATCTTTGCTTGAAGTTCTTATCATCTTCTAATTCAATCTTGTGATACACATTCCTTGCTACTTTTAATTCTACTCCATGGCGGGGCCCTTGCTGACTTGGACTTGTCAGTTTTCTAATATTGAAAATTCATGTTATCTTAAGTTGTATTTTCAATTTGTAGTTATATATTAAAACAAACACATTAAATTTGGTATTTCAATTAAATTAAATATTGATTTTGACTTTCCAGCGATGTGGATATAGATATCCCCATTCCTACCATATTGGATGTCTAAAGAGAAGACTGTGTTAATGTAAGGAAGGATATGGAAATAACGAACAGTATTCAATCTCAACGTCCATTAAACAAATATACAAAATAAGAGCAGAGCAAACATGGACCTCCGAAACATCAGAGGTGGGATCAGGTGCCATGGAGGAGTGAGCATCCCCTGCCGACCGGTCACACCCGCCGTGTGCTCTTTGTCATAATCAGGAAATAACGGAAAAAATCCGTAGTCAATTCAGTGTATAAATAATGGACTAACAATTGATATGAAAAACGTCAGTCAGCATTTCATTCAATGATAAATTGTATTTGCTGACAAGGTCATTGTATCGACCATATAATTTACGAGATGATGACTTTAAATGAGACTGTTGATATTCTTGTTTCATCAACTTGCTTGTCAATAATTTACCTCGTTTAAGAAATTGTTCATATGCAGAGCATGCTCTTGCGTATCGAATCAACTGAGATATAAATACTCCGTATGCAGGTGATAATATCCTTTTTTCAGAATACTTTCATTACCAGGTCTGGTACAATCACTAGATTTAGCTTCGTAGCTTGATTTACCTACATAGCTTTATTTACCTATCTGAGATAGCTTTATTTAGCTACCAAATTTATCTATTTCTATTAAAAAGCATTTTTCTCAGGTTGTGCAGACAATATCATTTTGATGCAGTGATCATTTTCAACTTTGAACTCATCTAAAAACAACTTATGAAACAAGATGTGTTTTTAAAACACTGATGCCCCCGTATGGCAACATAGCAAAGATTAAGCTTTTATTAACTGCAAATTTAATTAATTTGTACCAAAAGTAGGGTATTCTCACTGGAAAACAATTGTGAAATTGAAAGTAAGCTAATGTTAAAGGTTTTTAATAAGTACAAAAATCTCCCAAGGTCAAGGTCAATGTAATTACATGTAGTATCAAATGAAAGGTCATGCCACATAAAATACTTATGTAGAGCATGAAAGCCCTAGCCCTAACCGTTCAGAAGTTATGGTTTACGTTTAATTTCTTAAAAAGTAGGTCAAACTCCAAGGTCAAGGTCAAAGCATCAAAGTTATTGTTATCAAATGAAAGGTCTTGTCATAAGGATCAAATATGTAAAGTATAATGGAACTAGCCCTAAGTCTTTAAAAGTAATGGTCAAGTTTGCTTTTTTAAAGTAGGTCAATCTCAGAGGTCAAGGTCAAAGGGTCAAGGATCTTCATATCCAATGAAGGGTCTTCTCACAAGGATTAAATATATGAAGTATAAAAGCCATATCCCATACCGTTCATCTCTTACTGTTCAAAAGTTATGGCCAAGGTTAAAGTGTTTTCACAAGTATGGAAATCGTCAAGGTCAAAGGGTCAAGGTTGTTGGTATCCAGTGAAAGGGCTTTTAACAAACATTACATATGTGAAGTATAAATGTCCTGGTATATACTGTTCAAAAGATATGGCCAAAGTAAAAAGTTAAAATTTTCATGTAAAAGTGGTCAAATTCCAAGGTCAAAGGGTCAAAGTTGTTGGTATCCAATGAAAGGGTTTGTCACAAGAATCAAATATGTAAAGTATGAAAGCACTAGCCCCAACTCTTTAAAAGTTATGGTCAAGGTTTGCTTTTTTAAAGTAGGTCAAGCTCCAAGGTCAAAGGGTCAAGGGTCCTCATATCCAATGAAGGGTCTTCTCACAAGGATTACATATATGAAGTATGAAAGCCCCATCCCTTACCGTTCAAAAGTTATGGCCAAGGTTAAAGTGTTTTCACAAGTATGGAAATATACAAGGTCAAAGGGTCAATGTTTTTGGTATCCAGTGAAAGGTCTTTTAACAAACATTACATATGTGAAGTATAAATGTCCTGGTGTCTACTGTTCAAAAGATATGGCCAAAGTAAAATTTTAAAATTTTCATGTAAAAGTGGGTCAAACTCCAAGGTCAAGGTCAAATTTGGTGGTACCCAAAGAAAGGTCTTGTCACAAGGAATACACATATGAAATATGAAAGTCATAGCTCCACTAAATCAAAAGTTATGGGCAAGGTTAAAGTTTTTGCGGACAAACAGACAGAGAGACAGACAGACACGACAAAAACTATATACCCCCAAAACTTCGTTTACGGGGGCATAAAAACTTCGTTTACGGGGGCTTAAAAATCTCTCTTGAAAAAATGTCTTTCTGCGCAATTGCAATCAGAGTTCTGAAAGTTTTGGGGCTATGTATGACAGTTAGAACAGTTATCCTGGAATGAAATGACAAAGAAGTCCAGTTTCGGTTAACACGATAATAGGTCGGTAATTATTCAGCACAATGTGAAGTAATCATACTCAGTCATGCCTCATCACATCTCACCGCATGGTCAGATAACCAAACAATGGAATTACATGTTCTGCTCTAAATTGTCCAAATGCAGCAATGTATAATCTATCTCTGCTTTGAAATGTTTTAAAAGCCTCCCTAATGTAAATATCAATAGTCATTTAATCGCGACTTTTTGTCTCTTTTTGATAAAAGAAAACTTTTGAAAACTTTCACTTTCACTCTGCTACTGCATGATCAGAAGTTATGACGTCACAGGTTTGGTATTTAACCAGTGTGATAATGCTACGTTTTCGACCCCTTTTACTATGTTTTGGCTAAACATAACTCTGGGTCTCCCAAGTCTGTATATCAGATAGAAATTATAATACCAAATAAGTTTCTTTATAAAACTTTATTAAAATAAATTAATTTGTCAAGGATGAGTTATTGAGCGGTAATAAATTATGAAAGCAATAAATCAATATGAATGGGATTTTTATATCCCATATAAATTTTTTCCTAAATGTGGGAATACCCAAAAATATTTCTTTTCAATAATAAACTATTTAAATTAAATTTAAATAACCACAGGCATCAGTTCCCAATATTAATAAATTAATCTAATTAATTAATTACCCATCTACTCTGGGTTTCCATTTCCCAATAGCTTTTTCTGTCCTCGTCAATATGAGGCAATGAGCAGAGTGCTGCAGATGACAGCTGACAGCTGTTTATATCGTATTACTTTGCTAGTTAAATGACGTACGATCCGCTCCCCCTTCCCGCAATTAGACCTGCACCGGAAGTTTATAGTGCTAAGCGATCTCGATGCATTTAAAAACAATGTCAGATTCGCGGGAATTGGAGTTATGTCAGTTGGAGGATCATACTAGGGTTTACAATGTCGGAATAACATGAAAAGTAGGTTATTTACATAAGTTACGATTTAGGGAACTGCCTGTATGTGTGTCAATCTTTCGTATAAGATTATTTGTTATCTTACTTTCCACACTAATGGAGGAAACTCGGATTGACATGTCGATAGAAAAAATGACATTAAACTATAAAATATTAAATCATGAATCGTAACACTGCCCCCTTTCCTAATAGGCATTCGTCCTCGAATGGGAACTATGTCAAGCCATTGAAAGGAAAAGAAATCAGTGATGTCAAAGGAAAGTGTATTTTCATTAACTTGTCATGTTAATGATAAAAATTCATTACAAATTTTATAATGAAACATTTTAAACATATTATATAACAATTATAACAATTGACATCATATTCAAACAACAACAAATATAAATAAAAATTAACAATATATCACATCTTAGAATATATCAGTGTTTGTCTATCACATCTCGGAATATATCACAGTGTTTATCTGTCTCATTTTTGTTCCTCCTAGAGTGGCTCTGTCTGTCCCTTTTTCTCGACTGCTAACACTAATCCAGATAGACCATAGAATTTTCCTTCAACGTAAAGTTGACGCAACAACGTAAAGTCGGATGGTAGAATAGTAGGAAAAGCTTCTGGGGATCTTAAATAGTCAAGCACGAAATCAAAGAATCTGGGATTCCTGTCAATAAAATAAGTTTCTTTGCATGGCTTGATTGGTGAATTTGGATTGGTCATTGCTGCAAGTAATGATGATGGGTCGCTCAATAGTGTTCTTCTACTTGTTTCAAACTTTCTCCCCCCTACATTCAGTATTACATGGCCGTCTTGTTGCTCTTTGAGTATGTTCAGTTTAACTTCCATCTGGTCAGTCGGGTTATATCTCTGTGTTTCATTAGATTCCTGAACTTCGTAGCTTTCTTCTTCTGGGGCATTTATCGAAAGGACATCTTTGATGGAATTTTCAGATATCTTTGTAGATGCGGACGAGTCCGAATTTGAAGTTAAAGATGAGGATGAGGATGTCGATGATACAACTGACTTGGATTTGTAAGTTTTCTTTGCCTTTGGGTTAGAAGTAGCAGATGTGGTTGTCTTAGACTGAAGTTGGGGTTGTTCCACAGGTTTAGGACTTGGTACTGGACCAGGAGCGGGAATTCTCTGGTCATTGTCGCCTTAGTTGTCTACTTTTTGTTTCTTTGGGGGTGCTATTGTGTCCATAAAGATTGCTCTTTTTGCTCCTGGTGTCGGATTGAAGTTGGGAACAACTACTTTCATGTAAGCCTTTACGAGAGTTGATCACTTCCGCTGGAATTCAGCAAATTCTTTGCGCTCTTCTTCCCCATACTTCATGTTAGATTTTTTTTAGAATTTGTAGGTTGTACCCCTTGCACCCGTGTTTTTGGTCCTTGCGCCCCAACATATCGTGGCATTTGTCGCATTGGTAACCGAACCCGGAATGGGTGGCGGTCAAATGGCGTTCCGCATGGACCTGATTTGTAAATTCCCTTCCATTGCAAAGGATGCATTTGAAGCGCTGTATCTGTGGAAATAGGTATTTTTTTTAGTCCCATTGGAACCATGTCATAGTAATAATATGTGCAATAATAATATAGTAACAGTAAAATTATGTCAATCAAAATTTGAATAATATGTCAATCAAGTTTTGAACTATATGTCAATCTATATAATGTATATATACTGTATTAGACATGCATATATACATAACAGAATAGAATTTGTATGCTTGAAACCATTTGGGAATATTTATCCCATTGTAGATTTTCAATCTATTATGGTGAATTACCTCCGCTTCATGTCTAGGGTGCTTTTGAAATTTGTAGAGAATGTCATTTATTTTCTCTTTGATTCTGAATGGTCCTGCCCAATGTCTGGATAGCTTTCGTTCTAAACCCAGATTTTGGTTAGAATAGTATACCTATACTGCATCACCTATTTTATAGGGATTACGTTGGATTTTTGTATTATACTCTCTTATCATATCTTGGGAATTTAATTTGATATTCTCTCTTGCAAAATTGTAAATTTTGTTCATTTTCTCTGACAAATTTTGTATATAATCTGAAATGTTGCTTCTTTCAGAGTCAGGTCTCCCAAGTACTAGATCAATACGGAGTGCAACTTGTCGACCAAAGACCATCTCATTTGGGCTCACCCCTGTGGATTCATGTCCTGAGGACCTATAAGCCAACATAAGTAAAGGTACTAACTCATCCCAATTTTTCTGATTTTTATCAACAAAAGCTGACAACATGTTTTCAATTGTACGGTTAGCCCTTTCAATCATCCTGTCAGATTGGGGTCTGTAAGGTGAAGTTCGGGTCTTCTCTATTCCCAGTAATTTACACAATTCTTGGAATATAGTAGACTCAAACATTTGACCTTGATCGGAGTGTAATTGCATTGGTACTCCAAAGATAGGTATTATATGTTGCAATAGTTTTTGGGATATTGTAGTAGCTTTTTTATTTTTCATAGGGATGGCGTCAACCCATTTTGTAAAGTAGTCTCCTACAACTAGTAGGTATGAGTTTTTCTTATGGGTAATGGGAAGTGGTCCCAATATGTTTAATGCCCAACGTTCCATTGGTACCCCAACGTTATAAATTTGTAAGGGGGCTTTTGGTAAATTAATGGGAGATTTTCTCGAAGCACAAATGTCACAAGTTTGACAGAAATGTCGAATGTCATGAGACATTTTATACCAAAAATATTTGTCTCGAGCTTTTGATAATGTCTTTTTGTAACCCAGATGTCCCCCAGTGATGCCACTTTGGACTTCTTCCAAAACATCTTTAGCAAATAAACTGGAAAGAATTACTTTCAATTTTGGGGTAACATTTCCCCATTTATGATAAAGAATGTTACTAGTATCTTGCCATTTGAGGGAATCGAATCTAACCCAGTAATATTTGCATATTTCACTCAAATTTGATATAGTTTCCCAGGTAGGTTTATTTTGGGATTTTACCCATTCTATAACCTTTTTAATATCTTAGTTATTTTCTTGTATTTGTTCTAAACTCCTATTTTGAAGTGATAATTGTTTTTCAGGATCTTGAGAAGTAGATGGCAAAGAAGTTTCATGATTTCCAGAGCGAGTGACAACTTGACATGATTCAGGTATGCTTCTAACATGTTCATTACTAACTTTGTCAATAATTTCTGACCCATATTTTGTGTCAGCTCTCATGCAATGTTTACAATTTTAATCGACACAAGGTCTTCGGGATAGGGCATCCGCATTGCTGTGTGATCGACCTGCTCGGTGTTCAATCTTAAAGTCATAGGAAGACAGTGATTCGAACCATCGGGCTAGCTTACCTTCTTGGTTTTTAAAGTTAAAGCCATGTGAGTGAGCCATGGTCAGTTCTCACTTTGAAAGGTTTTCCATATAAGTAGTGATGGAAATGTTTTATTGATTTGACAATAGCTAATAGTTCTCTTCTCGTGACACAGTAGCGTCGTTCAGTGGCACTAAAAGTTTTACTAAAGTAGCTTATGACCTTGACAACCCCATTTTGGTCTTGGGAAAGGACTGCCCTTAAACCTGTATTGGAGGCATATGTGTCAAGGATGAACAGGACTTCATCCTTTGGGAATGCTAAGATATCTGAGCTTATAAGAGCTTTCTTTAATGTGTCGAACTCTTTTTGACAATTGGGTTCCCATAAGAATTTTTGTTGGGATTCTGTCAGCTTATACAAAGGTTTGACAATATCTGCAAATTTATGTACAGATTTCCTATAATAGGAAATCAGTCTCTCAGATGCATCAATTAAAACTGTGCACATGCAGTAAAGACTTGGCTGGCTGTAGTAGACAACGTGTTCCTGAAAGGTTTCTCACATATTTGTTTTATGAAAAACAATTAAATATAGCTTGAAGTTTATTTCTTTTTATATCAAATGACAAGATATAATAAGTTCGAAATCATTTCAGTCAAACTTTTTCATAATATACCAATATTTTTAGCTATGAGCTATTAACCCCTAACTATAGGGGCCAGCCCCTTTTCATTAATTTAATATGAAAGCTCTTGTAGTTACACACAACTTTGTTATATACTTCTTACCAAATTATTCCCTTTTCAAAAGATATTACACAAAAAGTAGCAAAAATTCAAGGAAAAAAAATTTCTAAAATTTGCGGTTTTAAAGCTTCCAAACTTTAAGAAATCATCTTATAATTTTATCGTTGTGCACATCTACAATGTATTGAGATTTTTAGTGGAAACGAGACATCAAAATTTATCAATAAAAGGGCAATAACTCATAATTAAAGGCATGCATCAAAAAAATGAAAACATGTGAAAATAGGTTTAACTACAAGGTATCTAACCTGAAAGTTTCATAAAAATCAGTCCAAAGGTCTTTGAGAAATAGCTTGTCAAAAATCAAGCAGGAAAAAAAAATAATAAGAAACAATAGAATAACAGTAGGAAGCGGAAGACCCTAATTAAAGCGGACTTAATCTGCAATTTGGTATAACTATACCTGGTCAACACGGCTATCTCTTAGTTTCAAAAACTGCGCTTCCATGTGAATGTAGATATCCTTGAGTGATGGCCAGACTCTTTTATGATGCTTTGGTGGAAGAAAAGCATTTGGAAAGATTAATTTGTTTTAAAAATACCTCTAAAAGCAATTTGATTTTTAGGGTACTTGTCACTCCATGTTCAGAAACAACTTTCTTTATGTAATCTGATAGTCTTTTGTCCACAGGATGCCTGATAAATAAATGTATATTATTTTAAAAAGTATATAAGCAATTCTGTTCACAATTAACTTTAAGAGGTAAAAAATCTCTGATAAGACTATAGCTTAATGGTTTGTATTTATAACATAAGGAGGCGAAAAATAGCACTCAGATTTAAACTTTGATAAGCAATACATAGGTTAATGATCCTTGATTATTCTCTTTTTGTAGCAATATCTATTGCAATCAGAAAATATGCCATGAAATTTTAATAACTTAAAAGTAGTTTATGTGTAAGGTAAGTTTCTGATAGTGTAGCAGAATTGAAAAGTAATACATGTACTATTTAAATTTTACTTATTTACCTCTCCTTTCAGATGGTTTCTATGATCTTTAATATCAGAAAACTGTACATAAAAACGATGTTCAATTTTCTCTGCTTGTGAATTCTTAAAGTCTTCTTTAAGAATCTTCACCAGTTTCTTCTGATGATAACGTGTATTTTCTTCACCAGACAGCTTAAAAACAAAATTTGGTCTTGTTTAAATTTAATTTGTGTCAACAAAAAACTAAAACAGTTTAAGTTTAAAATTATGTTGTATTATGCAATATCAAAACATATGTAATATACATATTAAACAAAATATTTGGCAAAAGGGCAAACCCAGCTATGCAAGAGACATGAAGGCCTCAGAATCATGTGGCATACTAAAAGGTCCACTTGAGCAGAACAGTAAGGTGTGCTATTCTGCCAAGTGGTAGTAAGCTGCATATTCTGATGCAATCTCAGACTCCGTTTGATGTTTGAGGTGTCAAACAGTTCTGCGGTACCCGGAAGTAGAGCTTAGAGAAGTCTGGTCATCTCAGTGGAGAGCCAGCTGGCATACTCCGTGAACCCTTTAATTATGATGAGTTGAGGCGTCAAACTGATATGTGATCGCGACTGGGAAAAAGGGGCCAGATGCGGCAAACGTCATAATGAGAAATCGGCGATCAAACTTACGTCATAGATACAAGCATGGACATCTATTAATATAATACAGTTTTGTGAAGTGGTTAGAGCCATGACATGGCTGCTCCCGCTCTGACAATTTGACTGTTTTCTGAGTTTTCAAAGCCCCGATTGTAGTGAAAATTGCAGTAGGCTCTATTCTTGTCACTAGGAATATACTCTTTGGACCAAGCGTTCGGAGAATTTGTGTGTTTGTGCGTTCAACTTCATCTATTTCCAGGACATGGTAACTAATCAACCATGAAATTCCTTAGCATTGTACTTCGCCATTCATTCAGGCAGATAGTGAACACTTACTCTAATCATAACGGTATTGACTTGGGTAGACAAAGACTAAGGCGCGGATCTAAGGCTGGTAGATGTTTCAGGAGGAAAATAAGTGTCATAACTGGGGTATGTGACAATTTCTATCACCAACGACAATCATTTGCTAACTTGAATAATTTAACAGCATGCCATGACAATTCTATTTCGGCATGCCGTCCTGTTAAGTCTGAATCATGTAGATCAGTGAACTATTCGAATCTTATTTCAATTCAGCTGGAAAAGCCAACTAAATCTGTGAAAAATTTCAATCTTTATACTTTGAACTCTCGGTCAGTGAAAGACAAATCATTGGTGCTGTGCGATCACATTGTATCTAATGGTATTGACGCCCTAGCCCTAACTGAAACATGGCTTGGAAGTGACATAGATAGCATTGTGATAGGAGGGCTCGTACCAACCGGTTATGATATACTTCACGTCCCCAGAAAGAATCGTAGCGGTGGTGGTGTTGCTCTCATTTACAATAAGAATCTTTGTACTACTAATACTGTTCGTTATTTCCATATCCTTCTCAATTACAGTTAGACAATTCGATCAATTGTTTTGAGCACTGTGCTGTCTCTATTAGTTACAGCCAGTTAACCATGTTGAATATGTAGAATATGTGGATAATGGTGAAAAGCTACAAATACATTGTACATAATTAAAATATTGTACAAACATGACTTGAAATATAGACTGGACATAGTATGACTGCTTTACGTAATAAAACTGACTTACACCACAATTTTGTTCCTTAACAAACATTATAAAGTGAGAATAAGATGAAACTGAACATATAGGAAATTCAAATTATGACTGTAATGGACATCCATAGAAAAATTTTACCGGGAAACTGAAGTATTACAGTAAAAGTTAATTTATAGCGAAATATTACAAACTGCAAGGTGTACGTTTATGAAACACTAATTCTAAGCCTAAAATTACATATGCAAATAAATTTACTTACACTGTGAGCATGTAAAGCAGGCAAAACAAGTAGAAAAAGAGCGAAGAAGTGTAGCTTTAACTTGGGCGGAAATAATGAAGTCAACATATCATAAACATACGGAACCAAAAATGAACCTTGAAATTCCGGAATACTAACCGGCACACTCCTCGCCTGATATTGCATGTTACAACCCAATATCACTAATTAACAAATACAAGAAATACCTTTTCAAAAACTTGTAACTAAACAAATTCAGTTTCTATAAACTACAGTGTGTAATCATAATATACATGAAAAAGTATTATCAGCATTAGCAACTTAACATGGCACCAACACAACAAGTTCATTCACTGGACGTACATAAGTTCTTGGCACTTTGTCTATGATAGCACGAACCAAAACTTTTCGCACGAATCCGTCGTCACTTTGTACGGCCTTAATGACGAGTCCAATCGGCCAACGTATACGGCAGAGTTCTTTGTCGCGAATAAGTACAACATCACCTACAGCTACATTTCGCATGGGGAGATTCCATTTCTGACGGCGTTGCAGTTCGTTAAGGTATTCAACTTTCCAACGCTTCCAGAAAACTGACGCCAAATGTTGAACTCTTTTCCACTGTTTACGTAGTAGATCTTTCTGGTCAACATCAGTGTTGACATGGGTTGTATCAATAACATCAGACTTTTGGGTGAGTAGAGTTGAAGGTGTTAAAATACATGGATTTTCTGGATCTTTTGATACGGGTATTAACGGGCGCGAGTTGATGATAGAGCATGCCTCCGCTAAAAAGGTTGAAAGCACGTCATGTGTCAAACAGCGAGATCCATATTCCAGCAACATGGAATCAAGAATCCGTCTTGTAGTCCCGATCATCCTCTCCCACACTCCGCCCATGTGTGAGGAGTGTGGGGGGTTGAAGATCCATGTGGTCCCTTGTTTGGTAAGATAGTCATGTATAGGCCCATCTTCTACGTTAATTGTGTTGATCTTCAATTCATTGACTGCACCCACAAAATTGGTCCCCCTGTCAGAACGGATGATTCTTACACAGCCTCGAATAGCCACAAATCGTCTGAATGCATTAATAAATGCAGATGTTGTCATATCCTCCAGAACTTCAATATGGACCGCTCTAGTTGCTAGGCATGTGAAGAGGGCTGCCCACCTCTTACTATTGGCTGATCCACCTCTAGTTTTCCTCGTTATGATCTCCCAGGGACCAAAGACATCTACTCCAATAAATGAGAACGGTGGGTATCCAGGGAGTATGCGTTCTGAAGGTAAGTCCGACATTTTTTGGTGTTCAAGAGGTTTACGTAGCCTTCTGCATGTAACACAATTATGTATGAGAGAAGTTAAGAGTCTTTTTCCACCAACTATCCAGTAACCTGATGATCTAATTCGTCCCTCAGAAATATGGCGACCTTGATGCTTTGTATCCTCATGACATTTCCGAGTTATCAAGGTAGAAACGTGATGCTTGGCTGGTAAGATGACAGGGTTTTTGAATGTTTCCTCAAGGTGTGAATGTTTCAAGCGTCCCCCTACACGTAATAGTCCATCTGCATCAAGATAAGGGTTGAGTGTGAAAATAGGGCTGCTTTTCTTCACTGGTTTGGACGATCTCAGACAATTTATCTCTTCCTGATAAACACTCCTCTGTATGTCTTTGACTACAATTTTCTCAGTGTCAAGAAACAAATCTGCATCACTCGTCTTAGTGAAACTGGCCAACTTTCGACTCCGACGTCGTTCAATGAACCGGCGTAAGCAAACCAAAGCCAAAATTAGTCTTTCCCAACTGGAGAATCTTGCGAATCTGCCATTGTCAAGTCCGAAGGAGACTGTTTCATTGATCTTTAACTTGTTGCTTCGAACTTCTTTGTCGACATCAGGGTTGATGAGAGGATAATTAGTGTCCTCTTCTGCTGAGGAACATACTGTCCGAGGTCCTAATAGCCACTTACTGTCCTGCATGTCACTTGGATGGATTCCCCTTGTGCTGACATCAGCGGGGTTCACTTCGCTGCGTACGTAGAACCACTGCGTTGGTTTGCTGAAACTTCTAATATGTGCAACTCGATTAGCAACATATGTGAAGAAACGCTTGGTTTCGTTGTTGATATAGCCCTACACTACACGACTGTCACTAAAGTAGTTAATAGTGTCTAATTTTACTCCTAAGTGTTCCACTACAATTTGTGCAACTTCCACAGCGAGGACAGCAGCACAAAGCTCCAGCCTTGGTATGGTATGGCCACTCTGTGGAGAAACTTTTTTTGCCTTGCCGAGCAGGAATCCTATGGAAGAGGAACCATCGAGATAAGTTGCTTTGAGATAACACACTGCTGCAACAGCGAGTTCTGAGGCATCACAGTAAATCAAAAGTTCTCTAGAAACAGCTTCATTGAGGTTAGGTACTATGACACGCGGTATTTGCAGATTCTCCAAGACAGGAAGTGCTGATTTCCATGTCTCCCATTCTTCAACCAACTGAGCAGGTAGTTCGTCATCCCAGTCTAAAGTAGATGCAACGATTTTTCTCAAGATGATCTTCCCACTAATCGTTACAGGCGAGATGAATCCTAATGGGTCGTATAGACTGTTGACTGAAGAGAGAATTCCTCTACGAGTTGATGGTTTGCTCTCATCTGATATGCTGAACCTGAAGGAATCTGTCTTCAAGTCCCATAATAGGCCTAAGCTGCGTTGGGTAGGTGAGTCCTTTTCAAAATCTAACTCCACTAAGTTCTTTGCCAGGTCTTGAGAATCAAAAGCATCCATTACTGTCTGGTTATTTGATGCAAACTTATGGAGTCTAAGATTCCCATGCACTTTCATTGCATCCTGTGTTTTTCGGATCAAATCAATAGCTTCTTGTTCCGTAGGACATGACTTCAAACCGTCGTCGACATAAAAATCATTGACGATAAACTCTTTGACCTCTGGTCCATGGGTAGTTACAGAGAGCTCTCCTATGCGTTGAAGTCCGTACATTGCTATAGAGGGTGAAGGACGATTTCCGAAGACGTGTACTCTCATCCTGTAAGTTACAAGTGGATTTTCTAATTTGTTGTCCTTGTGCCATAGAAATCGGAGATAATCACGATGTTCTTCTTCTACCAGGAAAGAGTGGAACATTTGTTGGACATCAGCAACAACAGCTACTTCGTGTTTCCTAAAGCGAATTAGGATTCCCAACAGATTGTTGATGAGATCAGGGCCCTGCAGAAGCTGGTCGTTCAGGCAGACTCCTTCATACTTAGCTGATGCATCAAAGACTCCTCTAATTTGATCAGGTTTGCGAGGATGATACACTCCAAACAGAGGGAGGTACCAGCGTTCCTTACTATGTGGTAAGTACGGAGCTAATTCAGCATGCTCATTGTCCAATATCTTCTGCATAAATGCTAGGAAATGGCCTTTCTTCACTTCATTATGATGTAAGGAAGCATCCAAAGATTTAGCACGACGAAGAGCCATTTGATAATTATCCGGAATTGGTTCACGTGGTGAACGGAATGGCAAGGGTGCTGTCCATTTCCCCTCTGAGTTCAGATGAAATTCTTTATCCATGATGTTCAAGAATTTCTGGTCCTCTATGGAAAGTCCTGGTTTGTTGTCATCTGGCGTTTTCTTGAATATATCTATTTTTCCAATAACAGTCTTGTTCGTAGTGATAACAGTGTTCTGTATGTTGAACGTTTGTTTGCAAGGTTCCAACATTGTAGGTCGACCACTTTTATCGATGAAAGTTCTGTTGACACGTAATGGTGGAATGTGTGTTCCAGACAAACAAACATCTCCAATAATTGTCCATCCTAAAGGAGATCGTTGAGCAAAGGGAAAACGTGGTGGTCCTAATCTCTGATCAGTAACGTGATGTGCCTCTGGAAGATCCCGTCCTATAAGCAGTAGGACTTCCATAGATGGATCTAACGGATGTAGGTCCCGAGCAATATCCTGCAGGTGTGGATAATGACGAGCGATATCCGGTGTAGGAATTTCCGTCTGACTGTTTGGTATGTTGTCACACTCCAAGACAGGTGGTAATTTCAGTTGAACATTTTGACTGTCATTGATTCCTTCCACAATCAATCCTTTGGCCATCCTTCCATAACTAACATTCTTGCCTGAACAGGACTGCATTGTGTATTCAATTGGTGTGGATTTTATTCCTGTGGAATCAAAGAGAAGACTTCTTCCAAGTGTCTTATTACTTTGGTCGTCCAGCATGGCATAAGCTGTGATGAAGTTCTCTGGCTGTTCCTCTGGGTAAATACGAACAGGTACAATACGGGCACAAGATCTCCCAGAAAAGCTTGGTTTTCCACATATCTCAGTGCAGTTTGAGTTTACCTCAAGTCGACCCGAGCCAGACGTCTCCTCGCCATGCTTTTGTACAGGAGTGGTAGTTACGGATGATTGTTGTCCGAGTCTCTGTGAGTCATCCAATGGGTGAAGTGCTGTACAATGAAAATTACTTTTACAAATGTCACAACAAATCTTTTACTGACACCTGTTGGCGAAGTGATCAGAGGTTTCACAGCATCTTAGACAAATGTTATGATTGCGTAAAAGTGTCTTTCTGTTTTCCAGGCTTTTGGATTGAAAGGCTCTACACTCATTTATAGAGTGTTTGGATGCTTTGTGGATCAAGCAGCTTCTTGAATTTTCTGCAGTAATGTTCATCTTACGAGCAGTCACAGACACAGGTTTGTTCTTTTTCACAACTCTCTGTAAAAAGCTGGTCTCTTTTGGTGTTTCATAAATTAGTCCAGGGTCATTCCTAATGACACTCATCTCTCCTATGAACTTAACAAATTCAGTAAAAGGCGGAAAGAGCACTGCATGTTGCTTTTTGTAGTTAATGGCACGTGTGACCCATTTCCCCTGAATCTGCTTTGGTAGTTTCTGAATGATGGGCTTAACCCCAAGAGAGGAATCCAGATACGAGAATATAGTTCTGTACTCACTAAGATTTTTTACAGCTTCAATTTCTGTTAGCAAGTCATGCAGCCCATACAGCTTTTTACGGTCAGTAAAGTCAGGTAAGTCCATGAGCCGAGCTTTCAACGAAGCCTCCACTAATTCAGCTGAACCAAATCGCTCATCCATGCGGGTCCAAATTGTGTGTAAACACTGTAGTGGATTGCTTGCACATGAAGTTCTTGCACTCATCACTAGTTTGTAAGCATCGGAGTCCTTGCGAATACAGTTTGTTAAAAGAGAGATCTCCTCTAGAGGTGAACACTTGATGTCAGCAACCATGCTTTTGAATTGAGTCTTCCACACGATGTACCTGTCTGGTCTATCCTCGAACTGCTGCTGTTGAAAACTTTCTAAAAGAATATTTTTCTTGATGAGAAAGTTAGACGTATCGTGGATATTGTTCACTGGATGTGTGAATGGAATGTTGTGTCCACCGGTCTCGTCAGAGTGATAGGATGATGTGCGGTAGAATCAATCGGGCCTCGATTAACACTTTGATTGATGAATCCTGGGGTAGAACTTTCTACTTCTCCTGGCATAACACGAGATAATGGTATGAATGGTGTAGCCTGTGGCGAGAGTGTTTGTGTGGGTCTCACAGGAGAATTTAGACCATCTAAATAATTCAGTGTCTTGTCGAAAGGACTCATTTCTTCTTTCGGTGGATTAACCGACTCTGCCGTATTCACTATGTCATCATCAAATTGTCTCTCAAGATAAGATGCTTCGGCATCAGCTGCTGCTGCTATTTTCTCTTGTTCTAAAACTTCCAGTTGTAAAGTTTTTGCAAACTGTTCTTTCTTAATTTCTGTCTCTCTTTTCACAAATTGTAGTTTTACTTTTTCAGATTCTGCCTTGGCTCTTTTGCTAGCAGCAAGGCTTGCACTTGATGTAGATGAACGACTTGTCTTTGTTCTAGAAGACCTGTGGGATTGACTTTCAGCAGACTCTTTTTTCAAGTCGATTTTTTCCATCAAAGTGTTGAATTCTTTTTTGAGATCTGTCATGACAGGCCAGTATTTCTCCAGTTCTTGTGTTGCTTCGGGATCTCGAGAACGTGATAGAAAGTCAAGGTAGTTGTTTGCACAAGTGTCGTAACGCTGAAAGGTGCTTCGCAAAGTTCCCTCTGTAGTTTCCAATAAACTGATAGACTTTGGTAATGGTTCTGAGTTAACAATGCAATCAATGAGGATTTTACTTGCTGATTCGAGTTTTCTGTAGAGAATGTCTTTTTGGTTCTTATAGTATTCTTCTCCTTTTTCAGTTAGTTTTGTCTCACGGGGCTCCTTACCCTCACTACCGTCTGTCGGCAACAGTGCGTTGTGAGTTGTGGACATGCTGTACACGTAATCTTTTCACTGTGCTGTCTCTTTATTAGTTACAGCCAGTTAACCATGTTGAATATGTAGAATATGTGGATAATGGTGAAAAGCTACAAATACATTGTACATAATTAAAATATTGTACAAACATGACTTGAAATATAGACTGGACATAGTATGACTGCTTTACATAATAAAACTGACTTACACCACAATTTTGTTCCTTAACAAACATTATAAAGTGAGAATAAGATGAAACTGAACATATAGGAAATTCAAATTATGACTGTAATGGACATCCATAGAAAAATTTTACCGGGAAACTGAAGTATTACAGTAAAAGTTAATTTATAGCGAAATATTACAAACTGCAAGGTGTACGTTTATGAAACACTAATTCTAAGCCTAAAATTACATATGCAAATAAATTTACTTACACTGTGAGCATGTAAAGCAGGCAAAACAAGTAGAAAAAGAGCGAAGAAGTGTAGCTGAAACTTGGGCGGAAATAATGAAGTCAACATATCATAAACATACGGAACCAAAAATGAACCTTGAAATTCCGGAATACTAACCGGCACAAGCACAATTCGATCAATTGTTTTGAGCACATGGAATGCACGGGTTTTACACAGAACTTGAAAATTCGCATATGTATTGTCTATCGTCCACCGTCTCAAAAGCTCTCTGAATTCTTTGACGAATGGTCGCAATATTTGAGTCGTCATGTTGTATCATCCGACGAACTCAATATTACCGGCGAAATGAATTTCCATCATGACAAGACAACGGATCTAAACTCTAGAATGTTCATGAACTCGCTACGAGAGTACGGGTTAACACAACATGTAATGGATCCTACTCATATGCGCGGACACGTACTTGATGTTTTCATTACCAGAGACGAAAGCACAATTCTAGATTCCACCCCAATCGTTGATAATCAGCTCATATGTTACTCAAAGGGAATTACTTTTTGTGATCACAAAGGGATTCATGCCACCCTTCTAGCACAAAAACAACAGCAGTCGTTCTCATTTCGCAAAATACGTGAAATTGATCACGATAAATTTTGCCTTGATATTGAATCTCGTCTATCGGAAATACGGAGCGATGTTCCAATTGAAAACATGGTAAACCTGTACAACGAGCGTATTCGCGAGGTGTTAGATGATCATGCACCGTTGCACGAGAAAACTGCAATAATTCGGCAGAATGCGCACTGGTTTTCAGCAGATCTACATACGCTCAAACGAAATAAGCGAAAAGCAGAACGCACTTGGCGACGGACAAAGTTGACTGTTCACCATCTTATATACCAAGAATCATCTAGATCATACAGCAACTCCTTAACGCAGTGCAAGAAAGAATTCTATTCAAATAAAATTACCGAGTGTTGTAGAGACTCCAAAAAGCTTTACTGTTTGACGAACCAGCTTATGGGAATCAAGTCAGACCCGGTTTTACCATCATCTGCAAGCAGAAAGGACTTATCGGAAAATTTTGCCGAATATTTTCAAGGGAAAATACGCAATATCCGAGTATCACTGTGTAAGTCAAACGCCTCGAATATTGATGTAACAGATCCCTTTCACGCTGATACTTCATTTGATGGTCAGCAGTTTTCTAATTTCACGACCGCAACTGCAGAAGAAATTCAGAAACTCCTAATGAAAGCATCAGTAAAATCGTGTGAACTTGACCCCTTAACTACACATCTACTGAAGCAGTGTATTGGGAGTTTCTTGCTGACTATCACGTCAATCATAAACAAGTCGCTAACGGACTCTAACGTCCCTGCTGTCTTTAAACAGGCAATTGTTCGACCGTTGCTTAAAAAACCAGGATTAGATAAAGATAATTTAAAAAATTACCGTACTGTGTCAAATCTCTCCTTTATTTCAAAAATACTTGAAAAGGTTGTAGCAAAACAAATCGACGCTCATCTGGAGATACATCAACTGCATGATGATTTTCAGTCTGCGTACAGAACGGGACATTCCACGGAAACCTATGCGCACTTGACAATATTTGTTGTGCTGTTCTTGTTATGCTCGACCTATCTGCGGCTTTCGACGTTATAGACCACGACATCCTATTTCAGCGTATGGACAATATGTTTGTTATTACTGGATCCGCGTTGAAATGGATCAAATCTTACCTCAGTGACAGACAACAACATGTCGCTGTTGGTTCATCGTTGTCTGATGCTAGATCTCTAAAATTCGGTGTACCCCAAGGCTCGGTTCTGGGTCCGAGACTCTATTGTCTATTCTCTAAACCCCTCAGCGAATTCTGCAGACGTCATAACATGACGTACCATATATACGCCGACGACACCCAGATATATATCATCGTTGAACCTAGCGATAATTGGACCGATATGTCCCAAAGACTCTCATGTTGTTTATCGGACATACGTAGATGGATGAGTGCCAACCTCCTCAAATTAAACGAAGACAAAACCGAACTTATCGTTTTTGCACCAAAACATAGACTTAAAATATGAAGAATTTTGAGTTAGAATTCGGTGATTGTGCTGTTAGCGATGCATCTTTTGGTAAAAAATTTAGGCGTATTCTTCGACAAAACCCTATCCATGGAAAAGCAATGCATCTCAATTTCACGCTCGGCGTATATGAACATTCGCAGAATTGGTCGCATCCGTTCCTATATTAGTAACGAAGCGTGTAAATCTCTAGTTAATTCCTTAGTAACATCTAAACTAGATAACGGCAATGCATTGCTATACGGCGTTCCTTCTCACCACATCGCCAAAGAGCGTACAAAACACTGCGTCAAGACTGATCACAGGCTCCAAAAGATCCGATCGAATAACTCCAACTCTTATTCAACTCCACTGGCTCCCAGTTGAATATAGGATCCAATATAAAATCCTTGTGTACACTTTCAAATCCCTTCGCAGCCTATCTCCATTCTACATGAGAGATATTATAAATGTTTACAACCCACCACGATCACTGCGTTCAGAATCCGCACATCTTCTCCAGGTACCTCGGACACGCACTAAAACATACGGAGATCGTCGTCTAGACAAGGCCGCATCTGGTCTCTGGAACTCATTGCCTTTTAAGCTTAGAGAATGTGATTCTCTGCCTTGTTTTAAAAAGGATCTTAAAACACACCTTTTTTAAGCTAGCCTTTAATTTGTGATTCTTTTTTAAAGTATAAATATGGTTTTATAATTAGACAGGGACATCATGACTACTTTTATTCACATGTATGTATATATGTATTTTAAGTTACTATCTTTTTCATATATTTTAATTGTAAAACGCTTTAGAGGACTCAAATCGATAGAGCGCTATATAAATTTTATATTACAATTACAATTATTCACAAAAAATCGTAAGTTTACGACTACGACTTGAACTTACGATAATCCTAAGATAAAAGTTACGAGCTATTCATGAAAGTGGTCGTAAGATCGACACACTGTCGTAAGTGAAAAACGGTCGTAAGATTTTCTTTTCCCTAGTTACCGACAACTGCTCATGCGCAGGTGACGTAATAAAAGCGGGAAACCCGGTAGATCACGCAATCTTGAGGTACAGTGATGTCGCCACTATTTATACCATTATAGATTTCTCAGTTTCCGAGTAATTCACTACAACAAGACTGAAAAAATAAACACATATGTACATAAGTTGTAGGTAGTATTGTTCAAATACCGGTATATATAAAAAGTAAAACTTATTCCCTTCTAAATTAAAAAAAGCATGCCCCAAGTATGGTGTTAGAGAGGATATTAAAGTAAAGTTATCCTTTGTTTGTTTGTGTGTCAGGAGGGGTGAGTTAAGAGGTACCGGTGAGTGCGTGCGTGCATAACGGAGGTTTGTACTGGGGAATAATTTCACGGGTTGTAATTTTCACGTTTTTCTCTTCTTTTGAAAAATCACGGTTTCTTGAATTCTCGGAATTGGTATATATTAAAAGTTTCCTACCTAAAAACATTAGCGCCATACAGAGAAATACAGAAATATTCGCACTTAGCTATAGGCTAATGAAAACAATTTCACAAATCAAAAAAAAATTTAAATTTGTGAAATCATGTTTTGTATAGGAAAAAGTATATGTTCAGCATTAATGAAAGACCATTTTTTGCTAGAAAATGTTTTAAAATTTTATTCAAAGACCTATTTTTAATATCTATCAGTAAGAGAATTACAAATTCGATCAGAAAATATCAAATACTTGCATTCACACATCGACCATACAAGCAGAAATTTTTAGCGAGAATGCAATTTTGCTATATAGCGAGATTGTTGAGATCACTCACATATAAAAAAAATTGCATACAATTCATTCCATATAAAATTATGAGAATAGTTTTTAATACATATTTACGTATTCAATAAATTTTCATCTCGCTACAGATTCCATTTACATATTATATATTCTATCTAATGCATGGTGATTATTTGTCTATTTCATAGTGGAAAAATCGGCAATTCTTGAAAACAGAAGATAGTTCTTTCGAAGACTTATATTAGTAGCGCCCTATTCACTATGTCCTAGACAATAAGTTAAAATGTCAATCTTTTTTTCACCACTTTTGCAGGGAATTCAGCCAAGGTCTTAGGTTTTTCAGTATTTCTTAAAAGGCTAACTCCCCTTTTTTTCAACGGTTAAAATAACATACGCATTGTAAATTGGGGCTTAACTTTTTTCGTTGGTTTAACCCCCCCCCCCCCCCCCCCCCGCTTTTCAATACGCCAGTTCGGGATTGTAACTCTCGTGCGAAAAGCAAAAAAGTATCCATTTCAACATGGGGGTGGGACAGTTTGTTTATGTATACAAACGTGCATAAATAAATGAAGGATATCTATGGATTTTAAAATTATTTAATGTATAGAAAGATAAAGATGTTAATTAGTGATGCATTTTATGATTTTATCAAGCTCAACTGCGTATATTTATCAATCTACTTTCAATTATAGGGTACTAAAAAACGAAATAAACATCGTGGTTTTCTTGATTGTACAAACATTCTCTAAAACGTTAGTGGGTTTTTTGAAGTTATAATAAGGTAAAAAAAAAAATGTGTCATTTAGAATGCCGACATACAATGACCAGCCACCCCACTTTCAAACTTTCAATTTGATACCGATGCCTATAGGGTTAAAAATATTTTACAATTATCAATAAGTATTTCATATTAGATTGAGGAAATTTACAGACTTTCCATGGGATATATATAATAAACATGAAGCTGGTGATCCGAAGTACCCAGAGATGCGACGTACAACTTGATAGGTGTTGATAAAACGTGGAAAGGAAAATGGAACGGAAAGCGGAACGGAAAGCGGAAAACTTTTGTAAAACAAATAACATACACTGTATATTCGATATAAATCAGATAAGAGAGTTGTTGTAAAAGTCATTTCTAATAAAAAAAACTTTATTGTAAACTATTATAAATTTATGAGTCATACACACCCTCCGTTCAGAAGTGGTGTTCAAGCGATGCCCCCCCCCCTTTCAACAGGCCCCGTCGCAGATTAGGTTAAGGAAGGTAGGTTAAGTGGTAGCATTAGGGGAAAAAATGGTTTTGAAAGAAATTCGAACACCCCCCCCCCCCCCCCCCACGAAATAGGATTTTCGTGTTGAGCAAAGGACACATCCCCGTTTCTTTTGCTTGTCATTTTTTTTTGTATGTTTGAAATATTTTTACTGACCTCTTTCAATTTGTTTCCAATGCCAATGTCTGTAAAGACAAAAAAATGTCCTGGATAGGGGCCCAGAACCACATTAAAAATTGATTAATTAAATCTTATGTATATTTTGAACACAAAAAGGGTGCAGACCTATTACAACTTAAAGTAGACCTTTCCGATGAGTGGGAAAACAAACTCATTTTTACGAGATCATTCATATACACCCCCACCCCCCAACACACACACACATATGTACCGCCAACAAAAAAAAATAACTTCATTGAATGCAAAGATTCTTGATTATATCTTCCAACTTTGTCTATCCAGAATTTAAATATATAGAAAGCGACTCTTGTTTGGATAAAATTTTAACAACCAGTGTGTATTTATATAAGAGATGTTTATTCGAGCTTGCCGCAAAGGTTTACCCTAAGTGTAATCTATATATATATATTTTTTTTACATTTTATTTCTCTTTCATCGGTTCATCTAGATATCAAATATTTGCCCCCCCCCCTCCCCGTAACCTTTTAACTACGGAAATTTTCGTTCAAGTTGACATTCTCACATTTTTTTGTGATTGTAATTAAAGTAGTGAGTTAGTGTATAAAAATAGTACTGAAAGATGTTGGAGTTGAAACTTGCCCCCCCCCCCCTCCCGAATCAAACAATCGTTTTCTAAAATGTGTTTTATCCCCCCTCCCGAATCAAACAATTGTCTTTTTTGTGTTTTTGCTTGTAAAAGAAGATTGGCGCATTTGGCGGGTGATCTGCAAGAATCTCTGTGTCTTCTCTCCATTTCTTAAACAAGAGGCCCACGGGCCTTATAGGTCACCTGAGCATTATGCAACAACTTTCCAGTTACAGTGTATTGAATTTGATTCATGTTTTAAGCCAGATGCTATATGGCATTCACAATTTTGAAAGAGGCACCATTGATCATCATAACAATACACTTAACAGTTGCTTAGGTTGGTAACTGAATACCCATACGCAGGGTAGGGGAACAAAAATGCACTCCAAGTAATCAGTAATATTCAGCAATAATCAGTAGTGCCCCTTACATGATGATATAAACCCCTGACCCTAGGTCCAAACATTGCACAAATTTTTAAAAGGCACCCTTAAAATTGTCTATAAAAAAATAAATAAATGTTTTATAAATACAAAGGAGCAGATTTCAAACAATAAATTCATTTTCAGTAAATAAGCAGAGCCCCCCCCCACCCCTGAACCTGGTGCCTTAGTATACACAATTCTGCAAGATTAGGGCCCTTGCTCATCATAACTATATAGGTAATTCATCTACTTCATACCCAGAGACAGAGAAGAAAATTTAATGAATGTTCACTATATAATCAATAGAACCCTGGCCTAACACCAGAACCCTTGACCCTGGGACCATA